GAATGGTTTGTACCCCGCCAGAGGCAAGTTCTAAGGAATGAGTCTCTGTACGGCCAAGTTTCCCAGGAATTGCGAAGAGACCTAGTTGGCTGACTACTGAGGCTTATATGGGCATCTGACAGCTACGGTAGTGTAAGCACACTAGCCCTTAGCCATGAATTCTTAGTCCAATACATCTAGTTAGTTAAGCTCTTCACCCAGTCGGGGCAGTATTTCCAGCCCCTCAAATAGTTTTGACACACAGGCTAGACCCCGAAGGACAGTTCAGACTCTTTGTAAACCTCCCAATTACTCGGTTGGAGCTTTGATATTCTTGATTTCGTCGCGAAAATCACACTAGGAGACTGTGAAACGAGGCTCTCATCCGTCTGTGACGTATCTCCTCAGAGACTGACAACTAGCCCACCACCATGGTTTCAGCAGCCAGGCATTGCTACCCTCGCTTGAGTCTTCATCTCCGAGGACCTTTTACTAATACCCCTGACGCCAAATGCTCAACACACTTCTGTGGACGAAAAATCGGGTCCCCACTACACCTCAGGCAGCCACATTCACTGTGGTGAAGCCTGAACTACGGCTGTGAATGGGCTCTGCGACTTTGGACGCTAATTTAGTCTGCGCATGCTTGATACCAATTTTATCCCTGAAGGCACTGCAATTCCACGACTACGTCTGGGACTTTAGGTAGGGCAGCCGGTTAAAGGACGAATTGTATGGTTTGTAGGGCAGAAGGCCAAGCACAACCGCCTAGAGCCCCGTTTTTCAGTTGGCTTGGCCTACGCAAGTGATGGGGTGTCGTTAGGGGTTCTGCCGTCTAGTACATTCATGACCGGGTTATACAAGGAATGGAGCAGCCTGTATCAGGTGGTAAGTACATTCCAACTTTCAGATTCGTAGTATTACTTGACATCGCGGCCTGCGGGGGTTTACTACGCGTCACACTACGTGAGATGGGAGCTCCTGTGTTACATGGCTTGGTCGGGTACAGTATACAAGTTGAGATCGGCTGACTGGTCGAATGGACTAGAGACTGCTCAAGTAAGCACTGCTGGCCCGACCGCACTCTCCAATGCACGCAGTGCTGCCTAGGATTTGTGGTTAAAGTTAACGTATCTTGAGCCTTTGAACCAGTGTAGGCCAAGATATCAGTGCTTAAAACAACGGATCAGCTGTGGATATTTGGAATTCGGTCATCACGGTGGTACCGCGTCAACGTCGAAGTTGACGGACGTACGCAGTGCCTTCTAGTTGTGACAGTCACTTCAAACTCCAGAAGGCTTGACGAAGTAGCTATGCCTGAATGGTATTGCATACATTCCGCTAGTGTTTCCGCCGTCCGACGGGAAGTCACGCCTCAGCACGTAGAACCTGTGATCACTGCTTCAGGAGTGTGGCGCACGCATGCACCACTAACTTGACCAGCCAATCACAAACATGGAAGCATGGGTCAGGTTAGAAAGGCTGGCAGTCACGCGCTTGCACGTAGTACGCGCTGAAATGCTCCACTGACAGGAACTACCGTCGGGGTACTAAGCCGGCATCTTTCTCCTTACCGACAAGATTTAGCTCTGGGCTTCCGAGAATTAGGGTACGCCTGTTGCATTGACCGCCACAAAGGCCCCCAGCGGGTTGAGGTACATGTGAAGGGAGATCCTAAAAGCCTACTGTGGGCAGAATGTATTTCTTATCACTGTTCTATCTTGCGTTATTATCAGCGAACTCCCAGCCGGATAGCTGAGTACCTAAAGAAAGGGCGACATTCGAGAGTATCGGTAAAGTCTAGTGTTTCAGACGACGATTTCGCCCATCCATCATGTAAGACTGGTGGGTCTAATGTACCCCCCCCCCCTTATAAGGCCTATGGCATACGCGCCCCTGTGCCTGGTTCATGAGGTTTCCGGTTGCCTATTCCGTCCACCTACTTGGTTTGACGGTTCACTCTTGTCTGACGTCAGCGCAAAGACATGAAGGATCGGTCTAGCGGCTGTATGGAATCATCTGACAGGTTAACCGCAGAGTGGATAAAAACAGGAACCGCGAGTAGAAGGGTCCAGCTGATGATGTTGGACCGATATGAGTGGCCAGACTGGAACTTTGTTTATTCCCCAAGAGCCCGTGTCACCGGTAATTGCACTTGCGTTTCTCCCTGGTGCTATTGTCAGCGCCAGTCGTTGCAGTCTACGACCCGACGCTAGGGCGAATGATATGCAGTCTTCTTATGGCAAAACTAACATTGTCGTCAGGTTTGCCTCCGTGTTACCCTTTCAGTGGGTATGATTAGCACTTTTGGACGGAGGGGTGTGATAAGTCTACGAGGCGAGTTCTCAGACAGTAAGCAGTGAAGTTCTACTACGCAAACGTTGGAGTACTTATCAATCCTGCAGTACTGAACCAACCACGTTTGTCCCTACCCGACTGCACAGTTTCTCTACGGAAGTGCGATCGGAAGACTACCTCTGAGATAATCGAGTGTGAGCACCGTTGATCGAATACTTGCAGATGAGTGATACCCCCCGAGTGCACGGACCACGCGACGTATCCATGCGGAAGGATTGTCCTGAGCAGAGCACCTCCCTAGATTTATTTTCAGGATAACCTCATGGCCATTCTGGAGGTCCTGACAATGTCGAAGGCCACGAGTGTCCGGACCGACGCGACGGCAGCTCTCACGTATGCCGCGCCCTCACGGCGGTAAGCCTGCCCCAAGACTGCGGAAGCTGGCCACTGGTTCCACCACCGTCGGCCGTGACCGGCAGGCACTGACTGCGGTGCGCGAGGCATGCACGTCTCGTTTATTGGGAATTGATTTTGAAATCCATTGTGGCTGACGTAGCATCTACAGAGACCTTCGCATGGTGCGCTTCTGCAAATGCGCGCGCCAGCGCCCCCAGCGTCATTGACGCGGTCGAAATCCGTAGTGAGCTGACCACGACCGAAAACACAGCGACTGTCTACCAGCATGTCGAATAAACCAGGCCATCACAGCTTAGCAGATTTGGCAAAAGAATGCACTCTTGACGGGCAACTGAGGAGGCATTCTAGCAATCATCCTCCTTACTATTCATAATTACTCCAGTCGTTACCCGTGACTATAGGCCTGAAGGAGTCGGGGTAACCTCTGTGCCATACCATACTGTAACATAATCGGACCCAGTTTGGTAGGGTCAGGAGACGCAACGTTCATGAGGCAGACGGTTACCAGCTACAGTGGTGACTCCCTGAAGCTAGACGAAGAGAGAATTTCTAATCAGAACATCCTCACCGGTCGGAAGCCGCGTGGCTTCCTTGTCGTCCGCGCACTCGAACGCATGGGTAGTACCCGGGGACAGTGTCAAAGACTTCTACGGAAATATGAAGGACGCCTATACCATGGTAGTGAGCAACCAGCTATCATGCCCTTTTTAATATCAGTATAACAGCTTGACCCGACCTTTGGAACCAGTCTCTTAAAACATCCGATAGGCCACGTGGCTGATAAGCAAATAACGCTGGACCGCACTTCCTAGTTCTAAAAGGCCACACTCGACAAGTGCTTTTACGCTGTCCAGGGTCACCCTTACTACTAAAATCTCTGCAGGTGATGGCGGTCATATTCAGGATCTGGGCATCATCAAACTCGACTTCCGCAGAGGCAGCAGTCAGTCAGAATCAGGAGCTGGACTGCTGTCCTAATTAAGGTCGTTTATTCCCAAAGTTGGTTCTGGCCACGCCTAACAGAGCGCCGCCGAATTTTGTCCCGAGATGCCTAGGGGACGATGCGGTCAATACGTTAAGGACAGTCCGATGGGGACCCATGGCATTGGTAAGATTCCTGAGGGAATCGACAGCATAACTCTCCGCAGATCGCGCCCTTTAGACAACACACTCTGAGCTATGGCTGAACCCTCATGGGAGCACGGTCACAGCAATTCTAGTTTCCAGTATCAGCACCACGTACCGCTTATGAATTTAGCGTTCGACAGATTGGCATTATGGGGTGAATATATCTTCGACTCGATTTTGAGCGTAGGCATTAGTTGAGTTCTCAGTACCAATGCGCTGAGGTTGTCGGTAACAGATATTTCCACAGGCTAAGCGAAGCAGAGCGGAAAACTTGGCAAGTCCTTTACCACTGACGTAAACCTCTCATACGGCGCAGTAGCCAAAGACTCGACTGGATGGTCCATCACTTCCACCCAGCAATACTAACTCCCGAGACGGTATGTCGCCTGAATTCACTGTAGAAAGCCTGACTACGTACCTCGTTGCATTGCAGATTTATCGTGAGTAATGCTATTCACATCCGAAACCGGACGTTTTCTGCTGCCTTAGACATAAGGCGTACAGTGTGCGGAGGACAAGGCTCGAAACGAAGATTACTCGAACACCTTTTGCTGACAATGTACGTAGCAAAGGGCAGTTACACTCAAAACGGAATTTGCTGACAGAGATGGTGTGACTGGTCAAGACAGAAATATGAGGGTACTACGAATTTAAAGTAGCATAATAAACCGTTATTAGGCGGCAGAAAACCGCGAGACAATATCGAAGTCACACTTGACTCTAGAATGTGGACCCAGTGACCATAGGCCGTGACGTTGCCATTAGCTACTTTTACGGACATTCGTGGTAAAAGCGCAAAAGCATGATGTTGTCTGCACCACCTAAGTTTAAAAAATCGAAGTATACGACGCGAACCCCAGTCATTGTCAAGCTACTCTAGACTTAACTGAGACTAAAAAGGCTCCTGGTGCAGATGATAACGCCAACAAAAACTGGCACGACCACGCGGGTTTAAATAATACCCGTAACCAGCGATAGGCGAACTTCGATATTTACACGGGCCGCGGAAGCTTGAGAAAGAGAGGATTTAAATTACAAGTTACCGCATCCCGTTTCACGCAAGTCTTCTGATGAAGAAAATAAACTAGCATACAGCCCATTAACGTTTACCCTCACTGAACCCAAAGAAGAGAAATCATACACCTCTGCGAACGTTCATAAAGTCAATAGATTACAAACTAGAAACGCTTTGCACCTTTGGGGGCTGGCTTGTTCACTTTCTTGGCGGCCTTTTGCTTTTGTTGGGCCGGAACGGCCTGCTTCTTCTTCAACTCGGCCTTCTTCGACTTGCGTTCTGCTTCTTTGGCCTTCTGCTTTTCCTTTATTGCCCTCATGGCCTGCTCGCGCATTGCTTTACGTACTTCGGGCTTCTGGTTGCGCTTTGCCATGATTTCTGTCAAGCTTGCGCCAGCAATAGCACGTGCGGTCTTCGTAACGCGTTTGGTGCGTTTCTTCGTGAGTTCCTCAACTGCACCCTTGCGGTACTTTCGCCGGTAGAGGACGGTCCAGTTGACTTCGCGCGGATTTCGTTTGAGGTAATGGGACCGTTCGCATTTCGAGCTGAGGAAGTAAAACTGACGGCCATCTCCCCTGATAGAGCGCTTGCCGTGGCCTGGGTAGACCTTGTATCCACTGTACGAGCAAACTTCCAACCTAAAATGTTTCCATAAGGTAAATTAGCTTGCAAGCCATCTTCAAGCCAATGGAATTTACAAAAGCGCGTAAGAGCAACGCGCAGACATCAGAAGTTGCAGGCCTACTACCCGCAGACATATGAAATTAAATCCCAAGTATACAGATATCTAAAGAACCCCATAAATACACCAATGAAGTAAACGCAACACCGGATTCAATGTGGTTCTTGGCAAATCAGTCTTTTGGAAACACTGGAGGTCTGTAACATGAACTGACATAAAAAATCAGATGTTAAAAATCCGGGTGCCCTTCTGCAACAAGATGCAACTACACATATGAACATAGCACAAGTCAACTACCATAAACAAACTAACAGCTCAGGACCAGTCTCTGCTTTTAAAGTAGTGAAAGTTGTATGCATTCCGTAACACTTTAACTGTTCATAATATAAAAACGAGATCACTGAGAATCTCGATCGGGGTTTGTGGGCGAAAATGGAACTGTCAAGGTGCAGTGCGGGGATTGGCCAATAAACAAAATCTGCCACAGACAGTTAAATGGCAAAAAACCCAAATTAATAGACGAAGACACTAAACTTTGAAAGTAACTTGGTAAATTGCGCTATTTAACCAAACACGCAGACTCCACATGCAACTTACTTCATGACCTTCGCGCCACTACCTTTTCGAATCAATTTAAACAATCTTGTGGGGAAAGTTTTAATACTTTGCCACGTGCTCAGAAAAACGCTCTCCATGTTGGCAATAACCTACTTAATAATGTTTAATATAAACATATAAAGTTCCAAAAAGTCATTTATACATTGTTGGTTGCTCTTTAATCGTGACGCTCCCGTGGGACCATATGATGGACGACGATCAGTGATCACTCTAAAATCAACAAGCATGCGATTTCTCATTTTTGCCAATTTAACTGGTGCATACTTCGAGCTTCTGAGGCTTTCAAACCCATAGAATTACATTTTGCCCTTTCTGTTGGCCCGTGTTATTGTGATATTTTCATCCAATGAGATTCTCGCTAGCTGCGGCACTACGCACATGTGATAGGCTCAGACGTTGTCCCGGGCTAACAGGTGTTACTGTAAAGGCCTTATATCACAACGAATTCGTTCATTGTTGTATAAGATTTGCTGTGGGCTGATGGCAAGATACTGGCGAAGCTGATTCTTCAGGTCTCACATCAGCCTCGGCACATTTTGCCATGAGCAACAGCATTGAACTTCGTCTGGATTACTATATTTCGACAAGTAAGCGTTCATTTCAAGCACAAATATTTTTTATTCCCAACTATTTGTCCTTTTAATATATTTTCACATTCAATTTTGTTCATTTGATAGCCTCATACCTTCCGGAAAACTGTTGGATGTATAAGACTCGTTTGTCGGTTTTCGACAGAAAGAGTTCCCTTTGAATCAGGTACATTGAACTCAGCCACATGCCGCTTAGTGTTTTAAAGTGATGAGTCATGTAGCGATTGACTTTTATCGTGATTTCCCTGTTTCGATTTGTAATCAATCCTTGTCTTGACGGATCTCTAATAATGCTCGTGTTTTCGCACTTTAGTCTACTTGCTTATATTTAAACGACAAACGCGGTTTTTTGCTTCAAAACTTTAATACCGGTCTTGGACAAAACTATCTTGCATCCACCTACTGTTGGGAATTACTGTCGTGAGGTTATCAGAAGTTTTTTTGTCCTGTAATCTGTCTACTACTTATAATGCTACTTGAAATTCCCTCACTGGTATAGTTAACTAAAATGTGCAGTGGATACAGTTAAATGTTATTTATTACTTATTTGTAAGGGGTGAAAAGCAAACATGGATTCTTTTCATGTGACATATTTCGCTTCCTCTGGATGGACAAAATTAGAGTTAGGAAAATTGCTATTTTTAATTTACACGTATAACCTCACCTGTGTACTAGTTACCGCCTGTCATGGGTTTCGATAGGAACGTGTTGGTTCAAACACTTCCAGTTTTGAGCTTTATACAAGAGTATGGCTTGTGAGACCAATGTCTTTTAGTCAGCGTTGTGGCCTTTTTAAAAGGCAGTTATCATTTGCATTAATTATCTTCTGGATACTGTTTCAACCAGGTTGCTGATTATTCTGGGAGTTTGACAAAGTTTGGCACCTTTAGTAATGCTACAAATACTCTTCATAAAACGAAAAGGCTGCGTGGCCGTCCTGAATGTAAATTGTACGTGGAAATTCTTCACACAAAAAATCTACTTTTCTCATACGTGCTTCCCTATCTAGTGTCGAACTCACGTCAAGTATCTGCTTTGTGTATTATCATTCTGGATAGAAAGGTAAAGTTATTTTTTCGGCGAGTACATCTTTATTTAAGAAATGGAGTACTGTCTATCTCCCCCTCTCTCCCCTTCTCTTCTTCCCTCCCCCTCCCTTCTCTATATTTCCTATTTAAGTGACGTAATGGCGTTCGTTTAATAGTGCAGTATTTCCTCAATTTGTAGTTTAAATTAGTGCTAAGGATTCCTTGAAATTTATTCAGTAGGCGTGAAACCTATGGCTGTTGTTTGCCTCAGGCAAAACAATGTGGTCGAGAATTCCTGATAATGCTTTATTTCGAAAAATAAATCTTCAGACTATGTTCCGTTGTACTTACTTGCTTGGGTACCGAACTGGCGACCGCAATGGCGAGTATACCTTGATCATTCACAGTCCTTGAATTATAAACCTCTTTCCGTACGCTCGCTCCTACAGATTCCACTTAAAATTTGATATACGCTTTAATAGCTTTCTGATGCCTTCAATATTCTTCTGACATTGGGAAAAAACATCCGGTTTGGTCTTTCCTGTCGCGATTAGATGTACGCGCCCTGTTTGCCTCTAGTTATAACCCTCAAAAATATATTCTTTCCCATTTTTCTTGTTTCAAAAGCCCTTAGATAATTACTGACTACCTTTTGAATTAAAGCCTCATTTAAGAATCATACATCATCTTTTAAATACCGTGGCAACTTAAGGCCGATTATCGTCAATAGGTATGCGTAAGTATATAAACCGGTCAGTGGAAACATTCCTACTTTATGACTATATGGAAAAAACCGATTATTATGATTTAAAGCACGGAATATTGTATATTTTCATTTCAATGATTGGCAGCGTCAGCGTTATTTTGTCGCGGCATAAAGGAAAGAACTAGGAGATGCCGGACTCTGGAAAAAGTTTGCCTTTCTCTGTGTACCGCACTGAGGACAACCGTTCACGCTTCCAATCAAACTAGAATGGGACACTAAAGCCTGGGCGCCAAAAATCATCCGCCCCCTCTTTCTCTCGGTTATTCCATTTCTGACCAGAATGATGAATAGTAACGGAGCCCACATTGTTCACCCTCTCACCAAGTATCGTCGACTGCTGCCGCCCATAAATTACGAGCCCACATCAGTGACGCGTCAAACAACCGATTATGCACATGCAGGCATGTTATACCGTCGTAGCCTGTTGGCAGTCAGGGCCCAGAAATCGATAGTTCACTTGTGACCTTGAGCCTTTCAGCAGGACGTTCCCATGTCCGTGGTATGCGTTGGGGTTGCTGCTGGGACAGCAGTGTAGGCAAACGCGTCACTCACCCGACTGGAAGACTGGTTCTCACACCGGCCTACCACTGTCTCTCCCATTCGCTCGACCACCTACTGAGACTAGCAAAACAGCAGCCGCGGCAAACACACCGTCCCCCCCCCCCCCCCC